AAAAAGTAAAGAGGCTTTTGCTGGCTGCAGGTCCAATGTCACACACAAGGAAAGTAGAGAGCAGGCTGCAGCTTTTTGTTTAGGAAATTTTCAGTTTCCTTGTCTCACCTCTGCTATAGATCTAAATAGGCCTTAAGTCTACTTTGCTCTCTTCTGTACCTGTAAGTAAATACAAGAGAAAAAAAAAAAATCACAGAACAAATGACAAGCTTTTGGCTAACAGGATTAATTATGATCTTTTATCGGCGTCAAAAGTGAAAGAAAGGAGACATCTCTTTACTCTTACAAAGCATCACAATCTGATCTAACTCTACTAAGGACTAAATTTAAGACATAATATAGCCAAGATGCATTATTTTAGGTCGGCCTTGAATACTTTTTTTTTTTTAACAGTGATCAAACATACATTTCCAGAATAATTAGTTCCAGTCAAGCTCAAAGGATGTCTACTCTCAACTGCAAAATAAAACAAGAGTTTGGATCTAATTAGTGAAGTGTATAACTAGCCTTGTATCTGACAACAACTAGTTTAACTAATTATCTGTAATGGTACTTTTGAAGGAGACATGATTCATGGAAGCATGCCATGGCTCCACAGACCACTGCACTGACAAAATATAACACTGCAGGACTGGTAACACAACATGTGCCCAACATTACTGGCATTTTTTTCTTAATTTTTGTACTTAATTCATCTCCAGGCAGAAGTTTAATCTCAAATAAACTGGAAGGAGGGAGGTCAGGATGGCATCAGGCTGGTAAGTCAGAATCACAGCCCCACCCCAATCATTTCCTATGCCTATTCAATCTTTTCAATCAAAACGGCATTTTTGTCTTACCACAATATTCTGAATTTAGCTTCAGGCAGTCAGCACGATGCGCAACACACAGCATTCTTGCACATTCAAAAGGCTATAGGAAAGCAGGGCAGGAGTTATCTGCTTTGTCCATGGATCATCTGCAGGTCAGTACTGTACATGCACTGAACAAAACAAACCTCCTGTTCTCACTGCCATGGCAAGCCTAGGAGAGAAACAGGCCTAGTAATAGGAATTAGTCTCTCATACAGCTTACCAAAACATCATCTCTTTTTAGAAGAAATGAATTCTATTGACCTGTGGTAAAAAGTGACTGGCTGTAGCAACGTTGCCTGCATAAAGGATAAGATAAAGAAGGGAAAATTAAAGGAGCACTGGATGGGAAATCTAAGAGATTACCTGAAGCATCAGGATCAAGGAAAGACTAAAAACCTGAAAAATCAAACTTATTTAAAGTCTAAGCTAAAGGCTGGCACACACTGAACAATTTGCAAGCTTGCGTCTGGAATGGCTGGCAAATACACAACCCGTACTAAATTCAAGGCAAGTTCTGGACACAGCACCACTCGGGATTAGGCCCTTTTTTATCACTTCTGATATGCTCTGCATTTCAGAATCAACTGGGGGTATAAGGAAGATCACCTTCCATGGGGCAAAGATAGCAAGTGAATTTTCTTCCTCACCAAGGGACTGCAGTTTTCTTGAAAGAAGAATGTTTTCTATCAGTCAAAAACTGGCATAGCACACAGCACCAAGATCCTAGACCCTGCAGCTTTCGGAACTCGGCAAGCTCCTTCAGCTCCTGGCAGCAGAATGTGAGCAAAGTCTAGATCCACGACTACTAACTTCACAACTTCTGGATTTGTCAGAACATTCTCCCCAAAGTGGCTATGTTGCATGTAGGACACAATTGTCTAGTACAATTTATAAAGCACAAGAAATTCCTAAGTTTCGCTTCACAGACGACAAAAAACATATGCAGGCAGCGGTGAAAAGAATTGTGTTTCAGGGTCACTAGGTTCCTCAAGCTGCGAGGAGCAGAAAGGAGTGCAGAACCTGGGAGCATGGACATTTATTAGTCACCGAACACAAGCACTACCTGCCCTACACCAATAAGCTACCAGTTAATTTTCATAATCTCTTTAAAAAATAAAAAATAAATCACAGCTGTATGATTACAGCATTTCTCATTCCTTGTATTCATGATACAAGTCTGGACTTCACAATGCAGGGTGCTAAAAAACCCAAACAAGTCATACCTTCAGTGTGAGAGAGATTATTATTACCATTTAAAGCTAAAATTTAGTTCATGTAAGACTACTACCCCAACACCCTGGGTTTTTAATGCCAAGTTCTGTACTGTGTGTCTACTGTCAGAGAGGCAAGCGGGGCTGGAGCTCGACACACTGACTGTCAAATCAAATAGATGAAAACATCAACTCTTCGGGTTTTTTAAAAATAAATTTCACACATGGAATGCATGTTTGTGTATTAACTATGAGCTACTGAACAATACTATTTAAGTAATTTGAGTCAAAACTAGTGTCTTATGAAAGACAAGACCTACTAGGTCTTTCTTCACAATAGTTTTTTGGTTGTAAGTTGAGGCATCAGTTCTGAAACACTCATTCTTGTTATGGGAGGATTTTACAGTTACAACTGCAATTAAAAAAAAATTCCCCATAAAATTTCTGACTACATGGCATTCTCCTAGCAGACTTACATGGTTATTTGCATTCCGCAAAAGTTTCTGTCAAAGCTAAAAATTTTGATGGTGGTAGGTCAAGGCAACGTTTCCAGGATGAAATTTTTCAGAGAATTTTGCCTAATGATAACAATGTATTAAATATGAATCATATAATATCTGTGGTCTAAATTCAACTTAGAAACAGTTTCACCACTTCTTTTTGAAAAACAGTACACATTTATCTTGGACTAGTTTCTTCATACATAGAAATTAATCTTTTGGTTTTAACAACCAAGTCAAATATTAGGCTAAATGAAAACTTTTGAAAAATATGAGGGAGTTATCTGTTTACCAATTCCAACTTTATAATGAACACTGAAAATGCAGTCTGTTGCTTAACAATTGGAAATTTTACAGATGAGTCTGAAAGCTCTTCTGTGAACATTCAGTTGTCTCTGAAAAGATCACGATTTAAAAGACCTGTTAAGGCCACGATAGTTTTAGAGAAGCTTAGTTTACAGTTTAATACTTTAACAATAAAATATGAGTGACAATATAGGTAACAGAATATAGGTAACATAGGTAATGGAATGTAACTTTGAATTAGAAAGTGACTTTAACCCCTTATGACATCTTAAAAAGTATTTGGATACAAAACTTCCAAGCTCACTTTAGAGATCAACACATTAACTCTCAGAGAAGTCATCCGCTGTTGACAAAACCTTGTACTATTCACCCTTAAGATTCACTGCAGTTTCAGTTCCATTTTAAGTATGAAAAACACATCTTCTTGTCTGTTCCATAAACTGTTCCATTCAAAGTTTTTGACAGCCGAGATACATGTGAAGTGAAAAGAAAAGTCAGTCAGCATTGTTCAACATCATTTTAATCTCCACTGAGGGAAAATAATATAAACATGTTAATACAAACAGAAAACATTTTGGAAAAGACCATAAGGTACTATAACAGGGTTTTAGTTTATAGAAATGTAATTTAGAATTTTATAAAAATTATATGAAAGAACAACATCTTTCAGTAACATCAGACAGTATAGAAAAAATAAATCTCAACATTAGTTGTACTCTGATGGTCCTTCTAGTAAGAAATTTAAAAGTGCTTTTTAATAACAGTGTCGCAACTCAAGATAAGTGCAATAGGTCAATCTGTTTTAAAGCAGCTATTTTTAGCAGTTGTGCAAGTTCTTACAATTAACAAACCCCATCATTCTAAAAATTAACACTAAGTGAGGTAAGTATTCTAATTAGAGTCGAACATTCCATAAATAACTTATACACCAATTCTACTACAAGGAAAATACTGGTGCTCCTTCACAGAAAGGCTCCAACCTAAACATGATGTGAAACTTGTACTACAAATCAGTGATACTTGGAAGTTAAAAAAAGCTCTTGCAAAATATACAGTTTAGTATATTTATGACACAATGCTACAAACAGCACCTAATGCAAAATACACCAATTTAAATAAAACCAAACTTTACAGTCAGTGTACTGAATTTGCTTTTGAATACCCTATTTTGTTCCCACATCCTCCCAGAAGCTCCCATATAAAGTTAGCACGTTAACTTAGTGTAGAAATTTCACTGTATTTTTATCTGTAAATATGAACAATTTGGTTACTAACTATGACTGCAACTATGAGTACTATTACTATTCGAGCAAGTGAAAAACACAGCACTATTTGGAAAAAAAAATTTACTCTTCACTGTTTTATACATGACAAGCTGGCAATAATAAGAGATACCCTATATTTCTACTAATGTTGTCTGCAAGAATTCTCAGAACTCTAAAATTAGTTTTCATTTTATTGTAGTTTCTTTACTCTGATTTACAATGCATAGTAACTACTGCCTTTCATATGCAGGCCTCATTTTAAGAGAGGCAAAAACTAGACTGTTAATGCTGAGCCCTTATGGCTCATTTGCATATGGAGCCAAAGGCATTTCATATTTTATTTCTCAAGGTGTTTATAAGTAGGATTTAAGTCACTATTAACAGGAATAAAATATAAATTAATCACCTTTCATTCTAATAGGTTATGGCTTAAAAGCCTACCAACTGAACCGGTTTTTATAGTATTGCACTTAACTTTAGTATTAAACTGACAGTTGAAGCCTGCACAGAACTTGTTTTTTTTAACCGCATTTCAATTAAAAAGCAATAAATAAAATGCAGTATCTAAAAAAAAAAAATGCCAGTAGGTTTAGTCCATATTTCTTCCACTATAGTCCAAACTGCATCATCTGAAATAGGTCTGGGACAGTCTTTGGATACCAACTGCACAGTTCTTTCAACATAATAGACTACCCATAAGAGAAGCAATTAAAGCTTTCTACAGTAATATTACGAACTGAAAGACAATACCCTTAAGTATATGTCTCAATTAGCTTAAAAGGATTTGTTGCCTTTGCTCAAGATAGCTTCGGAAGTTAGACACAGTTACCCTGTGACTGCATATTATCTCTATTGTGTTACTTTACAGGCAACTTGAGTTTTTTATATGTCATATTAACCCTGATAACGATGTGGAGACTTCCTGCTCCTAAACCAGGAAGTTGTTTCCTAAAATTTAGTAACTTGTCATTGCAGTGACAAGTTGGTTAAGTCTTTAGCAGAGTCTCTAATCATCTGTTCTACCTTGGGATTTTCAGCTCCACTGGCTGCTAGCTCCTTGTCAATAAGCCCCAAGTTGTGCAAATTGAGGATGGAATCAGCAATAATCCGTGCTGTCCTCTTCTGGTAGCCTCCAGACGTCACCATCAGGATTGGGATTCTGCGGCTTCTGGCAGCCTTGAACACGACTTCATCTCTCTTCACAATTCCCTGCAAGTTTACAATAGTTAAAAAAAAAAAAAGTGATACAAAGATGATATTTTAGTTCTAGCCAATGGTTTATGGATTTATAGTATTGGATGCTTGATAAGTGATTAAGTCCTACATTTTACAATACGAATAAAAAATTCATTTAAAAGTCCTGTTAGGAGGTTTACATGCATAATCATTTAAAAAAAAAAAAAAGATAAACAGCAAATCAAAAATCCTTGACTTGGTTTTAGAGGACACAACGGATAGAAGTCTAGTATAAATTCCTAAAAGAATTCCTGCTCAAAGGCCATAAGGTCTAGACTGACTACGAAGTTCAGAAATGGTCACCCTATTTTACAGGTGAGGAATCGAGACTATGAAAGATTGTCTGAATTCAAAGTGCTTTAGTTTGTGCTCAACTTGCAGAGCATCCTCTGACAAAAGTTTAGCAACTTGAGCAAGATTTCAGAAACCTACAGAAGAATCAAAAATTCAAATCAGATTTTACATGCTCACAATCACTAGCTGAATTCTAAGCTTCCAGTTTCTTTAATAAAAGCCAATACTAAAAGAATCTATGGCTGGAGGGCGAGTTGCAGAATGTAAGTAACAGTAAATCCATAGAAAGGAAAATAAATTCTAAATAAACTCTTACTAATAGAGAAGGGTATGGAACTAAAAAATAACAAAGACAGCTAACCAAGAGGTACTGTACTGTCATTGAACCCATACAAAAGAAGACTTCAAGTCTCTTGGGTTTCAAATAAGTACATGTGGGGAAAAAAGAGAGAATTCAGAAACAAGTGAGAACAGAATTAATATCTACTTTTGTGGAAAAAAGTAAAAGCAGAGAGTTCCAGAGATACATAGGAGGCAAAAACAATCCATTACAACCCCTCAAAAAGACTGACAACATAATAGACAAGAGCTGACAATGGAGACAGCTGAAAATTTAAGTAACTGTAAAAACTGGAGAAGGGGAAAGGGATCAAATGCAAAAAATTAAGGAAGCAGCAGCAAAGGTGTTACAACAAAATCAGTATGTGCTACTCAAACTGGTTAGAGGAAGACTGTAAATACATCAAGAAATATTGCCCTGCCATTTAAAAAAAAATAAACAACAAATGGTAAAGGGAAACAATAAAATTCAAACGTAGCTGAAAAAATATTTTGTAAAACCATACAACAGTAATGGGTTTTGCATAGTTTGACACAGCCCTGCAAAAGAACAATGGGAATAAGGAATAGTAACTGAAAACTAAGACAAAGGAAACTGAAGAATTATATTAGGAACATATCTAACAGAATTACAGGACAAGCTGTACGTCCCTTGGGAACCATCGCTGGATGCAGCAAGCATTATACCACACAAGAACTGGAAGCAGTCACTATTTGTAGGAGCCTAACCGCCTCCTCATCCCTGCTCCAACATCTCTAATGGCTCAGCCTGGAAGAACTAAGGGGAAAACACATGGGCTTATTCCAACTTTTGCGTGTTACCAAGAAAGAAAATAGATCAAATGAAAGTGACAGCCTGATACAGCTCCCACTTAGAAACAAAGATAAGAGGGACTTACCTGCTACACCTCAAGTTTTCTGACTATAGCCTCAAGCACCAAGAAGCTATCACTCATAGCACTCTGAGGAGGCATAATTTTGAGTAGAATTAACACTGTAGCAAGATTTTAAAATATGAATGACATCTATAACCGCAGGATTGAAGACTGGACTAATGAACCTTGAAGAGATGAATTATCCAGGTTCAATGCCTTCAGTTTCGGCATTTCCAGTAGCCTGGAAAGCTTGGCGAAACACGCCATTCACATCTAAGCCAAGGTGATCAGAGAGACAAGAAACCCTGCCCTCAGTTGAAAAAACAAAGTCTTGAGCTTCAGAAATATTTTCTGCATCAGGCACCTGGGAAACAGCACTCTGCCCTTCATCTGCTTGAGACCAGAGGAATTGCCTCATCTTTCTTTCCCCATCCCTACATTTTGTCTCTTGCCCTACAGAGCACCCAACAAGCTACAGCAACTCATTTTGTTTGGCAATTAACGCGTCTCCTTCTCAAACGGCAGAAAACCTTTTGAAAAGGCACATCTTGAAGTATTCTCCGTCTATCACTAGCTTCCATCTCTCTCGGTGGCCGCTGCTTTCCAAAAAGCTCTGCGCCACCAAGTGAGATCTTACACCTCAGGTCATGTCTTCTCCAAGGTCAAAACCAAACAATACAAGCCTGTCAAGCTCTTCCCTTTCTCCTTAGAGACTTTTACACAGAAGACACTCTTCTATACTGAACTGGTGGACACTAAAAGAGAACCAAATGTGAAAACTGGAGAGAGACAGAACCAAGGAACTGTCAGAGAAGGAATCATAAAAAAAAAAAAAGGAGCTATGAGATCTGTACATTTTTGTTTATTTTGAGAAAAACAGACTTGTTACATCTAGAAGGCGAAGACTGCTATGAAGCTATACTGAACAAATCAGAATTTAAATCTGAGACCAAACTGGAGAGAAGGTAAACTCAACTGAAAGAGGATAATGATATTTGTATGGAAAAGAATGAGGAAAGGGAAAAAAAATCCGTGCATTTGCTAATAATACACAGGCTGCACGAAATTGCTAGAACTGGAAGATATCAGAAGAGCAGTTTAAAACAGCTGGGAGTGCTACAGAGGAAATTAAGTGTAAGATACATACTGGGGGCAGGTGACAGAAGAAACACATTGTAAAATGGGTTATATGAGGGTAAAAGAAACAAAGAAAGAACGAATCAAACAGGAAAAATAGGAGTCAGGTGAAGTGTGAAAATATATGCCTCTGGTTACTGTCTGAATGTTCAAAATCAGTGTATTTTGGAAAGACAACAAATGATACCGGAACAGGCACCTAAAGAACAGAAATATTTAGTCAGGAAGAGACGATAAAAACATACAGTGAAATAGCAAAGGAGATGTCTCTCTAGCAGGAAAACACTCTGGTGTGGTGTAAAGTACACACCTTACCTTCCTCTAACAAAGGGTCAAAAGTCATTCTCAGGACCGCCTTCAGTATCTAGTGAGGAGTGAAAGTCTGTAGGTATTTCAGTGTTATACAAACCTGAGGCGAAATAGCAAGTCCTCCCAACGGATCGCCATCCAGAATATCAGTCCCAGCATTGTAAACAATGATGTCAGGTTTTAATTCATTTAATGCTCCTTCCACGTGAGTATGTACCTTCTGAAGATATTCTGTGTCCTCTGTACCCCACTCTAATTCCACCTTGCGTTTTATGGCACCTAAAAAAATAAATGTTTTGCTGTTACTTGATAAACAAAGCATTGCTTTGAGAGAAAATGCAAGATTTAAGTAAGCAAGAGAAGAGGAGAACGTTTCTGGAAATTTTGTTGATGTCAGGTTTTAATTCATTTAATGCTCCTTCCACGTGAGTATGTACCTTCTGAAGATATTCTGTGTCCTCTGTACCCCACTCTAATTCCACCTTGCGTTTTATGGCACCTAAAAAAATAAATGTTTTGCTGTTACTTGATAAACAAAGCATTGCTTTGAGAGAAAATGCAAGATTTACTTAAATGCAAGAGAAGAGGAGAACGTTTCTGCAAATTTTGTAAATACACTGCATTTTCACAGAACCCTGAATTAAAGAAAATTACTCAACTACATGTTTTCCAAGCAAATGCAAGCACAATGACCTTGAAAAAATTCCAGTGAAGAGAGAAAATTAGATGCAGGGGAGAAAAAAAAAATCTGAGACAAGTGGAAAATGTTATTGAAAAGCAGCTGATCTACATGTCCGTTTACCAATCAGCAAAGAAATCATAAAGAAAATTAACTTTTAAGTAACCTAAATAAAGCATAAAGGAAAGAAAACACTGAATTGCTATTGCAGAGGAAATAGTTGGGGGAAAACACAAGATAAATATAACTGAGAAATTATTAAGATGTTTTATTTTTATCACAACACTCAAAACTTAACAGCAAAGGATCATGAATTTATGTGAACTGCTTTATGAACACATAACAAGATTCAGCTTTGCCCCAAGCATTTTCAATTTAATGTTCTTACCCTGTAATCCTACCAGGAGAGCAAATATCTATTCTTAATTTAAATCAAATTATTTCTAATGCTTCTAATAAAGCATTAGAAGAGGAGCATTGAGAAGGTAGAGGAAGGAAACCCAAGGTTATGCAGCCTAGCTTTGGGTGCTTTTACAGAGTTATGTGTAACTCGAAATGCTAATTAATCAAATCTGTCAGAAGTGTTCCAAGGTATGACTTCTACCTCCCCATGCCCTATGCCTTGAATGACTTGGAGTCTTAAATCTTAAGTGTAGATTCAGCACCCAGCAAGCGCGCATGAACGCATTCAATACAGAATGAAACTTATTTATTCTCGTGATTGTTGGGTGGGGTTTTTTCTGCTCTCCATTCCCGTTCAACAGTAGCGAAGCATTCTTTTTCTGTCTTTATTTTATTGCATCAACATTAGTTTCAAAGATTTTTGTTTCTTTATGATATTTTTCCTGAATTCTTTCCTTATTGTTAGATAAGTGCTCATATAAGTCTGCACAGCTGTGCTCTTCTGAACAGCACTTAGAGCCTCTTCAGGGTAAAGAATCTGCTAGCTGGAGAGAGCTTTTGAGGAGGAGGTAAACACATTAGCACGGGGAACAAATAAGTATTGTTCTGATGAAACCGTTAAGGAGTTGAGACTATCATGAGTAAGATTCCATGCCTCTGCAGGTCTCTTGTCTACATCTCCACCACAAAACACAGAACTACAGTGATTAGTTACTACCCAGATCAGGGACAGATGGACACAGTGATGGATCTGTAGGTTACAAGGAACACAGCTTTTGCATTTGATAGTCTTTTGTCCATTTCTTGCTAATTAGTGAATTCACTTCTACAGCTTTGTAAAGTGACACTGAGACAAACAGCAATGCTTTTTTAAGGCCTGAACTTTAAGATTCAGCTGTCATCTTTTTACACTCACCCTTCAGTGAACTGGTCCTTTTCCCCATCCATCTTCTCCTTTCTCTTCCTAAATTTCTGTGTAATACCAAACTACTTCCCCTTAGGGACCCAATATGCTTACGGCTAAGCATTAGGCAATGTTAGCTAGTCTTTTTTTTTTTTTTTTGACTAATGAAGTGCATGGGGCAAAAAAAACCAAACTCGTACAAAGAGACTCCTTTAACAAATCATGGAGAAAATGAGTAGGAAGTCAGTGATCAGTTAGAGTTTGCCCTAAGGATTCAAAGTCTCAGGTTCAAGCCTCCAGCTCTCTTCAAAAAGATGCCCTCTCTGATCTCACCTTCATGTGGTCAACTAGCAGGAGAGAGTTCAAAGGATTTAGCTACTGAACTCCTATTTAGACACCCTTATACAATCTACAAGGAACCACATATTCACATGCCTTTGGCCAGAGCATTCTGTGCCTCCTGCTTCATCTGTAGGAAGGGAATGCTAGTGCTGCCAGCTTCACCGGAGAGAGGCCAGTTCAGTACTTCAGATTTGCTAACAAGGGCTTAATCTCTTTTGGTCTTAATCCATCTGTTCAAAATGTTGCCGTTTGATATGTGGATAAAGGGATGCTATTTTTAGGGGGAAAAAAAAAAATAAATCTTCATTTGCTTGCAATTTGTCTGCTTACAGACATTATGTGCTTTAAATGGTCGTTTTTTAGTTTAATACCTTGAAAAAACATATCCTACAATTTTCAAAATCTTTACTAGTTAAAAACAATGCACTGCACCTAATTCTTGCCACGAATCCAAATTAAGTAGGCTTTTCAGAATGACAGCGTCATTGAAGAAATTCAACAGCAGAAGAACATCTCCCCCTGTAAGCTATGATTCAGTTAACAAATTAAGCCTGTAATAAATGACAGTGTTACAGAATCAAAGATCAAATAGACTTTGGGCTTTTGCATTCCGATTTGTTATTAAAACCCCATTAATTAATTGTGACAGGTCACCAGACAATAGGCACATCACAGTAGGGATAAACAAACAACAACAAGAAATCAAGCACCAGCTCTTAACATTTGTATGACTTCCTTCTGCTTCCCAACTTGTTTCACATTCAGATGCATCTTGTTTTCTAGATGCTTAGAAAATAAGCTCTACTGGAAAAATACCACTGAAATATGTTATAAATTATAACTTTCAAAAGAACATGAAACCTTTTTACACAGTATTAGCTAATCCTTAGTGAATTCTTTTCTAAATTTAGCGTAAGGAAAAGATTAAGTTCTCACAGTTATCTTCAAATCTGAAGAATGATTTGACTCACTGTTCTAAGAGCCGCATGAGCTTTTGAATGCATTGCTAACAAAGTCCACGTAATACCCACACCTTGCATTCCAGAAGTTCATTCCAGAAGCGAGGGAAAACACTACAATGTTAACATTATTGTGATATATCACAATGATCATTGAAAAGCATATGTTCAATGTGAAATTAAAAAAATAAATTAAAAACTTTAAAAAAATCTAGTTTATATTGTTGCAAGGAAGCTTATTAGTAAATGAAGAAGTTATTTAACAACACAGTAGGTCTTTTACATTTTGGAATATGAATTTCAATTATACTTACGTTTAGCAAATCCATCCCCTGGATAAATATATCTGTTGTATGCATCCATAATATATACCCGATGATCATCCATAAAGTCCCTCTCATGGCCATTTCCCTGAAGGAAGTTTACAGTTAGCTATTCCTAGCATACTAACACAGAATTAAATAATCTGCAAATTCTAGAGTAATTAAGACTACAAAGATCTAGTATTCAAAACTCCTGTGTCATTCTCTTATTTATAGTCTTGAAGGTTATTTTGAGGTACAGAGTTCTGGGGGCTTTGACAGTATCAGTCTGAAGACTGCAGGTATTATCAAAATCAACATCCTTATAGCTCTGTGAAGATAATTATCGTAGATCTCACTGCATATGTAAGAAAAAATCAAAGAAAATTAGAAGCTAATTGCCTTCAGCAACATTACAAAAGCAACTGAGACCACCAAATAGATCCCTGATCTTCCAATTGTGGGGAAAAAAAAGAGGAAATAAAAAGGAAAACAAGGTCACTCAACTGCAGCAGAGATACTCATATTCTTATACAAGGAGTAATAAATAAATAAAGCAGACTACAGCTCTTCTGACAATTCAAGCTTTGGTGAGATAAGTAATCCCCGGAAAAATTACAAACAGTAGAGACTCAACAGTTTAACATATTGTTTAACACCAGGAATTCCCTACAAAAAGATTGTACTGGGAGTAAAGATGGATGCTCAAGAGAAAACTCAGATTCTGAATATTTCCCCCTCCCCCAGATCTGAATTTCAATAGTATTCTTTTGGCCCTCATTCAGACTTTCTTCCAGTAGTATAAAAATCACCTTTTCACAGCAATCACTAGGATCATTTTGTTGAAATCAGTGTTACCATACAGGACCGCAGCCTCTACCCCCAGTAGAATTTCATTTGGGCTACAGAAACAGACATTTCCACAGACGTATCTTCTGTAATTCAGTTACATGATTTATGTCCCTGGACAGTTAAAATATATTTCTGCTACAACTTCCCCTCATAGAAACAACAATAACAAAAACAAACCCACCAAAGAAAGAAAAATGGCAACTCCTACTTATTTCTTCAGCACCTTTGGTCCACAAATAAACAGTTCATGAACAGAAATCTAGGAATATGAGATCCTCTCGGTGAACCATTTTCTTATGAAAGGTGAAACTCAGCAATACACCAAGAACTGGAACACTCACAAGATGAGAATATCTGTGTACTTAAAAAGGATCTGCTGAGCTACTACTTCACACACCTCTCCTTTCCCAAAGAAAGAAAACAAAGGGGTGATTTAGTGTGCAACACAGATTACCAGCATGATACCTGAAAATTAAAACATGTTGCAAGAAGTTTTTAAAAAACAAAAAAAACATACCAAAAAAAGTACAAAAAATCCACACCCTGGCAGAGATGGCTGAAAAGAAATGATAGAAGATGGAAAACTTGCAGCCATTAGGCTTCCTCACTACCATGGAACTACTTAAATATGGTTTATTTACACACAGTAAGTTACCTTCAATGCTTCAGATTGGACATAATTTTGGTGCATGAATTGCTTTTCTAAAAATACTATTTCCCCCCTTTCAGGATTTATTTTGGAAATCCTACCAAAGATGAGATTTGCTCTCAGTACCTGCAGTAAATCACTTTACCAAGTGAAGAGTGAGGCATTCTTTACGTCATTAGCCTGAAGCCAAGTTTTCCATTAAAACACTGAAGGTCAAATTCATCCCCTTCAAAGGTTGCTGCAATGATCACGCATGCTGAGCTAACTGTAATTCCATTTTAAGAGACTCTTGTTTCTTCTCGGATACTGATCTACTCTGGAGACTGTTATGCCTCAGATCAGTATGCAACTCAAAAATATTTTTACATCTATCCACATGATGGAGCTACAACTCAGTTTAATTTTGTTAAAGTGGCTTAACAGCCTTTTGAATCATAAAATAATTAAACAACTCAATTGCTCAGTCTCCATCACCTACAATTAACTTCATATTCTGGGAGTGGACAGTTTATACTATTGTTAGAAAAAACAGTATTTATCACACACTTGTATTTTGAGCAAAACATCTGCAGCACTGAATACAGGTAAACCACTCACCTGATGAGCATCCAGATCAATAATTGTGACGTTAGACACTCCTTGTACTCTTTCAAATAAGAACTGGATACATAAGCAAAGAAAAAGATGGGCAAAGTTATGAAGTTAGGTAACATTAAAATGGAGGCTTGAAGCTTGCACAGTATACTATGGTTCTGATTTGAATGTAATGCATGTCTATTCGTTTCATCCACCAAACCCTGATGAGCATCCAGATCAATAATTGTGACGTTAGACACTCCTTGTACTCTTTCAAATAAGAACTGGATACATAAGCAAAGAAAAAGATGGGCAAAGTTATGAAGTTAGGTAACATTAAAATGGAGGCTTGAAGCTTGCACAGTACACTATGGTTCTGATTTGAATGTAATGCATGTCTGTTCGTTTCATCCACCAAACAAATGACTAAATGATTCTAATATATTTAATTACAAAAAGCTCTAGTTATTTCACATAAAAAATGTTTTTGTGGTTATACAATTAAAAAAAAAAAAAGGACAGGTCCAATTCATGATTATAGAGCTGATTCTGGCGTTGGTGCTGTCAGAGGCCAGAGTGGAACCAGCGACAGCATGGAGGAAGCAACAGCAACTATGGCTTGGGACAGGGTGAAACAAGAGCTGCACAGGCCCCAGAACATCAAGAAGCTCACTCCGTGAGACACAAACGACAGCACAAGTGAGGCTTAGCAGCAGGAAGGGAGAAACAGGCCACTGCAATGGCATCCAACTGTATAAGCATAAAAGCTCCCACTTAGGAAAAGCTGCTGCAGGGACTGGATGCATTAAAGCTACTGCTAGTAACAGAATTCATTTATTCCACATCTGTGAAGAAAGAAGTATTTTTTAATCCTTTGAGTCTTAACTTTGACAAGTTACTAACTTTAATATAACCATGGTAAACCCCAAAGATTTTGTACAAACTGTCACTCGCTGTAATTTCTCAATCTGTATTTTAATGATAGGGGAAGTAGAACACTCTGGATTACTTATCTACAAATTGCCATGTACAGAAATTAGGATGTTATGTCCTAATATGTTGCAGTGTGCTGCAATCATTAGAGCTTTTTTATGTTTGATTATTACTGATACTTTAATATTCTAGTATACAAATATGCCATAGCACATTTGATAAAAATAAGCCCTAATTGCAGAAGGCTCTTGCTTCAGCTTTTCAACAGCTAAATACCAAATATATTCATTACATTCAGTGATTATTTTGGAGACATTCACATTTTTATTCATTAATTCAAACCACTTTGAGTGCTGTATAGTGCGGCTCAATTCAGAGAGAGGATTTCTGTCTCTGCGTTCATCTTGATTGTATCAACTGAAAATAACGTGGAATTTTCAGGTTCAACTGCAAGGCTAGGATAATTATCATTGAGGATACTAAGAATCAGTCTGGCTTGATTTTGAGTGGTTTTTTGCAAGATGACGTTATTAATGCAACTGTAATGGTTCATATTTACATTCATAATTCTGACCCCTGCAACTCTTCCCTTCCACTGAACAATACCGGAGATCCATTATGTCTGCAGCATCAAGTGCCACACCATTTTCCTATTCCTACCCATCTATAGATGGCTTTATTTTCTCCTATTAAGAAGTAAATTAGTTCTTATGAATTTATGTGGGGTTTTTTTCTCATTTGCACAAATAGTAGAAAATACTGGTTTAAGGTTACGTCTTACCTTTATAGCCAGTGTGATATCAGCATATGCACAAAATCCTCCACCTTTGTCACTTGAACAGTGATGAAAACCACCCCCTAAACACCAAAATGTTGAAGAGGTGAAAAGCTAGATCCTAAGGATCATAGATGGTCTTTGCAAAGAGACAGAGATCACTTACATTTCAGGCACTATTTTTTCCTTTAGCAAATATCACGTCTAGAGCTGTTAAGCCCTTACCTATAGCAACACAAAACATCTCATAGGGTTTCTGTATGTATCTTATGCATGGCCTATCAGGCAAAGGATCTACAGATGCCCAGATTAAAGGGAATTGTCCCCTTCATCTAGCAACCCCCCTAAGAACTGAGAAAAGTACATACACAACACATGGTGCCTCCATGACAAAGCATATTGCTTGGGAAGTTCAGCTCCCCCAGGCACACAGACATTAATATTAACATTACAGGGCAGGTGGAAAGGACGTGGGGAAAGGTCTTTCTTATGCTGAACACTGGCTCAAAATAAATACTAAGCTAAGAACTATGGTGTTATGATTTGCACATACTATTGTGTTTTGCAAACACTCACACCAGAAGAAGCTTTAAGAACTCCTCTTTACAACACAAACGCTCTACACAGAAAAGGTATTTAGACCTCCCCCTCCCAAAACATATTTTTAATAAAATAAATCAGAACTTTTTACTGAGAAACCCACTACAAATATCTAAGCAAGAAACTTACCAAGCTCACTCTACATATCAGTAAATATGACAGGCTTTTGGGGTTGTTTTTAACATCTATTTAACTCTTAATATTGGATATTCACTTTGCAGAAGACGTACGTAAGAATCCCAGAATTGATGAGCTCTATGAAAACAATAAGCTAAGTCTTACATGGCACTAAATACTGCTTCGATAGTTTACTGGTATTGCATTGCCATTTGCTATGAGCAGGAGAGCAGATTTATATTCACTATATTCTTCACAATTTGTTCATTCAAGTCTTTCAAGAAAAACTGTGCAGCCAAAAACAGACACTAACTGGTACAGCCCTGCCCTCCAGCATATCAACCAATCCCTTGATCTGGGATAATATATAAATTAGTTGATAAGATCTATGAAAGTTATTTTATCATTTAAAGAAAGATTTTATTGAAATGTTTACATCTACTCCAATCATTTTTCCTTAATCTTTTCGCACTACTTCAATCCAAACACTTTTCCTTACACATGCTATCATATCTTTATCCAGTTATCTTTTTTTTTTCTTTCCAGAAAACATTTTATTTAATTATAAAACTGCAATACGGGTGATAGTGGAGGAGAAAACAAATTCAGTACTTTTTCCATGTTTTCTCCTTTAGAGTTAATTTTAGTTAAAACACAATCCAGTCGCTTTCTGTTATTATAAACAGAATACACATCATGCTAAAATGAAAACAGTATGATTTTAAACACACTATTTCAAAGAGCATTTAATGGACTACATTTGTACTCACCCACATTGATCGCCCAGCCTCTATCAACAGCAAGTTTTCCTGCCTTAAGAAAATTACAGTGAGAACCCCAGGAATGAACCTGGCAACAATTTAACAGTCTGCTTCCACCTCAAATGCAACCCTTGGCATTCGAACATGCCCACTGAATTTTCAAATGTTTCACCACTGCAGGTCATTCTGAATCAGACCTCTGAATATGAACCATACAAAACTGTCCTCAGCATAATTAGTTGACAAAATATTTGATATCTCATCTGTATTTCATTCTCTGGCAGTTGAACAGTTCTAAACAAAAACCCCCTGAAACTAAACTAAAACTGCAGCTTGCAGAGATGAACATGCACCCCTAGCAGACAAATAAAAAAGGGGATACACAACTGTTTGTAAGAGTAAAAAACGAGCAAGAATCTCCCAGTATCTTTCCTGTTCATGTAAAAAAAGCTCAAAATCCTGAAAATACAGATTAACATAGTTTCACCCGGCACTGGAGACAGAAAAATGTTACAGTATGAAGTGTCCTGTGACTTCTTTCATTTTTTAAATAATCTAACATGCAGAGTATAGAATATTATGAATCTTTTTCCCTCCAATACAGAAAAACTGTGCCTGTATCTCCCCTTTGAATTCAAATGACATTCAGGGAAGGGCAAGTATTGACATAAAAGAGATGCACAAGGTCTAAAGGATGAAATTATAATTGAAAAACCTGACTTCTTTTGGCCAGGAAGAGTCGAGCAAGTGTTTAACTGCAGATTTCTGAAGTGTTGTGTTAAAAAAAGAAGGTATTACTAGCTATAATAAAAAAAAAAAGGGGGGGGGTGTAGAAAAAAGGTAAAACCAGATTTTTCTTTTCCATAATCATGGAAAGAACATATTACACGTCATACACAAAAGGAAGTTTAGACAGTCGAGAATTCTTCATCACCAATATTTATATTTGAACAGTTCTAATTTAGTATTAGGAAAACTACCGGGAAGGTAAACAACATCCTGTTATGAACGTGCTAACTTACACAAATTAGATCTTGAGAAAGGACTGTCATTTCTGAGTTATAAAACCCATTAAGTCACAGGGAAAGCCCATTATCTGTGATTTAGCATACTTCCTAGGGATTTCTCACCAAAGAACAATCTTCCCATATTCCTTAAAAATCATTAAAAAGTATAGGAACTCAACAGGAATTTTCATTATAAACAGGACCATCAGGAACAGCAGAAGATTGTTTTTCTGACTTGCACTGCACAAATTTTATTGGCTGGTGAATCTAAACTGCTTTTAAAGTACACACCTATTTCCCATAAAGAAAAACAAGAGAAGGTAAAAACAACAGCATATGGCATCACAATCAATCCAGAAGTGACCAGTGATGTCATCCATATTGCAGGAAGCATGATCCAAAGACATAATAGACAACGAGTGGCTATCTCTTCAACATGACCACATTTGTAACTAGTGACCACGCACTTATGAATTAAAAATAACACAAGCACAATGAAAAACATCACAAAACTATATAAGAGCATTGACTCGTTAGGACCAAGTTGAAACGGATTTCACATGTGTGTACTGTCAAGACCCTTCAGAAATATCAAAGGCAGAATATTAGGAAACTCTAGACTCATCCCAATTATTTTTCTCTTCTACCATTTCCTTCATTCCTCTTCCCTATTGTACAGAAAGACAGTGTGGGTATGATAGAAGACTCTGCACGTTCCTGTTCAGACCCAAACCCCTCATCTCAATAACCACTACTGACTGCAGTCAGGAAGACAGCACAGAAGAGAACCGACCAGGAGTCTGAAGTGATACTAAAGGACTAAATGGAGACAGAACGGAGCTACTTCTTTGCCTGCAAGTGACAACCAAAAATTTAAGCAGCTTGAACTATATGAACCATGTGAAACCAGAATTCTTTCTCTCTACTATTACCAGGTCCGTAAGATCAGGTTTGGAAAAAAAAAAAAAAAAAAAAGGAAAAAGTCATACTACTCCCAAACTTCCCAGCAGTCCACTGAAACCAAGATGATTACACAGCACCAGATTTGGTTTTGCTGATATCTACCTCAAGCTCCCGCTGGGAAATTGGGGAAATTGCCAGGAGAAAAGAAAATGTTCCAGGCAGTTTATGCAGGTTTGCATTAGGGAGATGCACTGTGTTCCACTTCTATCATCTCTGCTTTTGCCAGTTAAACACCTACGAAAGGAGGTAGCACTTTCTGTTATCTAGTCTATTACCATAATCTAATAAATCTAAAGATTTATCCAGAACATAAGATGTTCTTTCCAAACTCATGTACCTAAATTGTCCTTAAAGTTTGGTTTAACATTTTCAGTAGTTTATCTGGTTACGCAGACTTTCAGGCTTCAGCAAAAGCATCAGACACCACTACGCTGTACAAACATTTTCACATTTTTCCTTACCTCACGAGTCTTTGACTTTAAACAACATGTACATGCAAGACGACAGAGCAACACAAGAAAATTAAAGTAGATTTAGGAAATGAGATTTAAGAACAACGATAGTTGGAGAAACAGAGTCCAAGGTGGGCAAGATAAATGCAACTTTCATTTTACAGAAGATAGCCATTTCCCACTCACAAGCCTGAATTAAAACCAGACGGCAACCTGCAAGGATACTTAAATGTGTTAAATATCACAGGACTCGCTATTGTCCTCATGAATTAGGAAGAAACCACCAGCCATTTTTATTTAACAGCTCAGAGCAATAAGCAGCAGTTAACTCACTTCACACAGACAATTCCAGCATCAAGGAATTGACATTTCCACCTTTCCCTCTACTGTCCCCCTGTTCAAAAACTTACTGGAAATCTTCCTTTGCTACTTCTCTGCTACGATCATGACTTTCACCTCTTCCTCCTATCATAAACAAGATTCTTCTGAACACATGTGTGTCTATGTTGATTCATTTTTCAATTACTCCAAGTATTTCACAGTATCATGAAGAGCTACATTACATAAACGTTACATTTCCCATTATAAATAATAAAATGCACCAGTTTGCAACACAACTCAAACATGATGATATAACTCAAAGTTTTTTGAAGAGCTCCAGATTTTTAAAGATCTATGACCAATGTTTTGGATATTACAAAAGGAGTTAAGACCACATGCTTAAAACAACTAAATCACACTGTTACAAGATGTTTCTGAATCTTAAGAGTAGATAATTAAACCTGGTAACAAGTTGTCTAGTCCATTCTATTCCTTTCTCTGCTACCTTTTGGTAATAAAAAACAACAGCTGGCAGAGAGTTACTATTACATACACACTTGCAAATCAAGCAGCTGGATGGGACACAGATTTAAGAAGAGTACTAAAAGACTGAAAGAAATTGCCATTTTTTTTCTGATGAAGAATCAGGCATTGAGTAGTTCTACCACTAAAAAAGTAAATACCATTTAAAAAGTAAATACAACAGAAAAGCAGGATATTTCATCTTGCCTTAAAATCTGATAACAACTGGCTCCCTACTTTCATTTCACATAGTAAAACCCAAAAGGGCTGAAACTTAATAGTGCCCAGATCCACTTATACACACAAATGATAGTAGCAACAGTTAATCTCATGTCAGCCCCACGAAATTAAAGAAAACTTGGAGAACTGCTTCAGCAAACTTTCGGGCTCAGTCACATCATTCTCATAGGTAAGTCTCAAAGATTCAACCTTTTTCATTGTTTCTGAAAACCGTGCTTTTTACGCAGTAGTCATAGAAGAGCTCTTAATATTATTTATGTCTTGAATGAATTCTTGATACATTCCTAAGGGTAAGCATTTAAAAATAAACCTTGATTCCAGATTACTAAGTACCTACATTTCTGTTGACAGAAGTGGGAAGCTATTAGCCTATTTCTGAAAATAATGCTATTACTTTATCATTCATTAATGACTTCCCAATCTCGCTCACCTTTAAGATCTAGTAGTTGCAATAAATCATATTCCCATACCTGGCACAGACGTACTCTGAAAGGTTTGCCAGCCCACAGAATAGTGTTTCTCAATAACTGGCTTCACATAGATATAGAAAAAGCAATGTGGGCTTCTATCCTTTTCACATGCACCCACTGTAACCACTACCTTTGGGAAGAGTAGCTCAAATGCAGCAAAGATCTATTTGTAACATAATATTAATGATTTCAGACAGGATTATTTGTCTTCCATTTAAGTAACTGTTACAGCTCAGTGCCTGTGAAGAGAGATCGGGACTGTGCCCATCTCCTCCCAGCACCATGCTGAACTCTAGCTCTAATATGACAAGGAATGACACAAAGGGCAGAAAAGGTTCCATTAGTTACCGGTTTACAATTACAAAGGCATCTTTTCCTCAATACATGGTTTAAATAACTCATTCTTGGCTCCACCTATTAACTGTTTTCTTTCCTTCTACTTCCTCAACACCTCTAATTGCAATTCTCAGGCACAATTAAACGTCTGGTGACACTTCCACAGCTCTTCTGAGCAGAGCACTCATTTAACTAATTAGAAAACAATTCTGTTAAGGTGCAACAGGCTATGCCCCACTCGAGTTCAGCTGACCTGCTTACGTAGTATTTACAAAAGAAAAAGCAGATAAACTAACTTTAATCATTAAAATGAACAAGGCGACCTGATTTTTAGATTTAAACGTTTACCTAGTCCCAAGAGCAACGAAACCATACATCTCTTCCCATACAGTACCAAGGCCGTTTGGTAAACATGAGCTTTAAAAATAGCTTCTGTATTAACAATTTTGAAACCTCCCACTCCTAGAATTTACACGTATTTGAATGCTGTTCAAATCTAATTCAGGGTCTCTATTTGCCATAAGTCCTGCTGCATCTATCATTGCCTGCCCTGGCTCTTCCCCTTCTGCAAATCACAGACCATAAAATCAGCGATATCCTTCACCTGGGCAGTTGCTAACAAGCAGCAAACTTTGCTCATGTTTAGGACTGTACACAAACTCCCTTCCCTCTACAGGGTTCAGGCCTTGGAGTTAAACTCACAGGTTTATAGTGTTTTGATCAACAAGTTTAAATATCATAAAAGTGAATCGAGCACCTTACCATGATTGTTCCACCTGTCTGGGTTCGTAGAGGTTTCAAAACTTTTCTCTGAACAACGAAGTTGGGAAGAAAGGCAACTGGTGGAATTTCTGTGATTGTAGCCACAACAAATGACCACTACAAGAGGGGAAAAAAAGTTCCAATTAATGTAGCCTGTCTTAATGATGACATTTAGGTCTCTCATCAGTTGCTATTTACTAAAAAGGAGCTCACGGGTCCTTAGCAAGATTTTTAATATTTTTAGATGGAGATGACCACAACAGTCCTTATTAGTTCAGTTCATTAGGTTCATCCTCAAGCTGTTAACTCTGAGAACCATAACTTTCACTAGGTTTTTCAGATTTTAGTATCAAATGATAATAAATCAGCAATTTTTCAGCAAGTTACTATTTCAGAAAATCTAGTATCCCTGGGATTGGAAGGAAGAATTGTAAAATGTCCTTCAGCAGTATTAATAGCAAGCTACACTTGATATATTGTTCAAACCTAAAATATCTTTTCCCATGTCAAGTCAAAAGGATATACCAAGGAGAAAGGAAAAACAAACAAACAGACAACTAAAGTTCAAATACTTAAGTGAACACACTGCAAATTTTAGCATGGAGAACTGATTAAAATTTATTTAGCATATTAAACACTTCTGTAAAATGTTTCAAGGAAATGTTTTGTTAAAAAGTCCTATCATCAAGAACATGATTTGAAGGTTAGAACACAAAATATTTGCAATACGTAAATGCTTTTTTTTGCAAACACATATAGATTACTTCAAAGAACTTCTACTAGCATTGCTACCAGTGATAACACTTCTAAATATATTTCAAAGCGTAAGTCACAAGCAATATACCTCTTCATCCGAAATGTAAACATTCAGGTACTGAGAATCATGAATTTGACATCCTGTACAAAGATTCTGAATAGAATGTCCTTCCTTCAACATTAGGAAATGTAAGTAGATTCAGCACATTCATTGCCCGATTACCATTAGCTGTTTACAAGTGGAAGGATGTACAAGTGGCCAACTTTAACCAAAGGTAATCACATGCCAAATTCAGGGTCCTCTGATAGTCAAAAAACCCCAACAAATCCCCCCAAAAAACTTAAGCTACTTTGGCTTCCCAGTTATCAATATTTCAACTATGAGGTACTGTTGGGTGGAGTGGAGGGGTGGCATTATTCATAAAGAAGTTCTCAAGTACTAACTATATTTTCTCAACCGTTCATTTTAAGCTCTTACTACTTTTATATTTGTAAGACATTATTCTGTTACCACACTATCAGCTCTCCATCATTAACAAAATGCTTTAATTATTCTGTAATACAGTCTCAATGAAGTCCTTTTACAAGATATTTTAGCTTTAAAATGTAAAAAAACCTAGACTCAATCCTGTTGTTATAAAACGGTATTGAAAAGGTCACATTTGGACAAGATAAATTTTGATCTCAAATGTGAACAATGATCATAAAATTTCAGAAAGTTTTAATACAGTTTTTAAAAAGAATAATCTCAATGGGAAGAAGTGGGAGCAATAAAGACTCAAATCAACACATACGCTGCTGCAGGTTTTTAAGTGAATGCAAGAAATCCCTACGTGGCACAAGTGAAGAGTAAGCCAAGCTGAGGATGCTTACAGAACAGTGCCAAGCCCAAAGACACGCGCTTGCTTCAGCCTTAGTCCTCTACCGTGTCTTTGTAATTCCCAACATATGGGGAAAGTCATTTGACCGTGAGGAGAGTCGTGGGGTTCCAGAACACAGCTAGAGAATAATGGAAATGCTTCTCAAAAACCACCACGATAATACCTGAGAAATATATTGCCTCGAACTGTGGACAGGTTTGTGGTTATTCAGGTCAATGTGCTAATTTTGCCTTCCAACATTTCCTGCAATAAATTTTCAGAACAGCTACGTATATACTCGAAAAAGAAATCAAAAGGAATTGGGTTTACATAATTGTATACTTTTTTTGTTGTAAAAATTAAAAATGATTTTGAATAGATGAGGACTACATCAATTACATTTTCCAGGCTGTCAGTTGGCTTCCATAACATAAGTCTTCACACATATTAGTTTCCTTTGATAGAGAACAAACCCTTCAAATTTTTGGTTTTTGTTTTTTAAATCACTATTTTTTGCACTGAAATTGCATATATCAGAGTAATATCAGTTATTATTTCTTTTGGTAGATCCTTGCTCTCACTCAGCCATCATCATATTACTGATTCTCTAGTAAAGTTTTGTAGGCATGTAATTATGTAACTTCACAGAAATCAAAACTTGGTCTGGATTGAGAAAAGAGTAATAACCATATACAAACACTATGCAATAACATGCCTTCACTTACTCCTTTTAGTTATCAACTCCATTTAACTCTTTCTTTACTTCTATCGCCAATATTGTAAGATTTTTAAAAATTATTTACCTTCCTGTGTTTTGGATAAGTAATGCAATGTATGAATTTAAGTTTCAATTTTTAAAAATTTCACTCCTTGTTTTCTTAAAAGGAGTAAAAAAAGTCAGGTTAACCCTTAACCAGGTATATTTTCCTTTAATATATGCCTCCTATCAAATTAACTACTAGGCAGTATCACTAGATGTGTCTAAGTATAACACTATACCAAGATGTTACATCAAAAAAAAAAACCCAAACCAAAATGAAACAAACAAACAAAAAAATCAACTTTAAGAGTTTGTAATTTTCCTTGGTTAAGCCCAAACTCTATAATAACATATACATTTAATGAGGATATTCTTGCAGGACTTTATAAATAAAGTATCATTACTATTAACTTTAATTCCTTAACTACAAAAATTGTTCTTAGTAAGGTTAAATGACTTTACAAATTATTTCAAATTAGTAGTGTTTAATGACTAAAAGTTAAACTGAAAACTAATATTAGGAAGTAGTTGCTTTTATGCTGATATATCCTGGATTAATACAAACAGCCTTAATGATCAAAACCAACCTCTGATGTACTGTCTTTCATGTTACGCATTCATCACTTTACAAATTATTTCAAATTAGTAGTGTTTAATGACTAAAAGTTAAACTGAAAACTAATATTAGGAAGATAAAGTAGTTGCTTTATGCTGATATATCCTGGATTAACACAAACAGCCTTAATGATCAAAAACAACCTCTGATGTACTGTCTTTCATGTTATGCATTCATCGCATTCCAGTATTTTAAAATAGCCAACAATACATCAAATTTTAAAGAAATATGCAATTTTGTTCTTTAATATCTAAATTTAAACTGTGTTTAAATCTTTGATAAGTTCCTGAGGCTAGTCCCAGCATCGAGGGAAAATTCACAGACTTACAAATCCAACACCAAGCAACTAACGTGACATTATACTTAGAAGCTTGCCTGGGACAAAGTTATGTGGGTCCATCTTCAATAGATAAAGTATGTTTTTAGCCTGAATTAACATCAGATAAAATCACAAAGGAGAGTAAGAAGCTTGTAATTACCACAAAAAGTTCTGGGTCAAGGTACGAATGCACTATTATCATTAGGAAGAAGACGTTGCACTGGTAGAAAGCAATGCCAGCCAGGTGACACACCCAAGAAAACCAACAACCCAAAACACAAATCGGGATGCATCGGTCTCTGCTCTCCCAACCAATGAGTTGGAAATATTAAAAGGAAAGAAACAGATCACTGTTAACCAAATGCTACCGCATCCTTAAGAGGTTTACTTGTTGCTTTAGCTGCAAAGAATGCCCTAGAGCATTTGCACAGCGGTGTTAAATATGGAAATCTGGCAGACCTTGTTCCCCGTGACTATGTGTTTGAATTCAGGGTTTTCTCTAAACATACCCAAATATCATTACCTTTAAAATAATATTTTTGTGTACTCCTACAGACCTCTACCTGACACATTAACATGAATATTTAGGTAAAATGGATCATTTATCTGCTCTCATGACCTTTGAAATTAACATTTGACAGCAAACCACCACTCACCTTCATATATTTTTCACCAATGAAGTTTGAAAAAAAAATGGAGCAAGGAAAAATCATAATGTAGGGAGCGAACAGAGACAGCAGATGACAGCACAAGAACTGCATGAACTGAGGAACTGGACAGGGGAATTTTAAGCACTTCTGAAGGTGCCCATTTTATCCAAACCACCACCACACGTGTTCAGCTGGTCGCTAACACACAGCCCAAGATGCACTCCGCACTGCTTTACCAGAACACCTCAAACAGGCAGTAGTATGACAGGCTGAACCAGTTATTTTAAGAGCCTGCTTCTCCCGCCTTCACTCCCAAGAGCCTTACCTCCTCCCCCAGGCACACTGCCGATACCACCACGCGGCAAACAGGCAGGTACCGCTGGTCTCTCGGCAGATGCACTGACACAAGCGTCAAAGCACACAAGCACTTGAGCACCAGAAAACACTCCTTATTATCAAATCAATCCACTTTTCACTAGTCAGAAAAATTTACATTTCTAATAAAATGATTTTTTTCTTCTTAAACCTACATGACTTGCAAATCCTTAAAACAGATTAAAATGTTAATTTGAGCATCACCTGTTTCAGATCACTCTCAGAAAACCACACCTTGCATTCCACTGACACACAAGCATTATCCTCATCGTTTGCATTTCAGTATTCACTCGCATGTCACCATAGAACCTCTCACAGATAAAAATGGGTTGAGTGAAAGACTCATATGGTCTGTAACTAGCTTCAACCTCACTATCTCCTTCCAAAATTTCAGAATGCTGATATGCAGGCAATTCATTATTTTACATAATACTAAAAAAAGGCAGTAAATGGAAAAGTATTGCAAGCAAATTATCAAAGTCCAGTCATTACCTCAGAGACCTAAATTCTTCAAAAGAGTAACTGAGGGGGAATCACCTCACTTCAAAGGCCAAATTTTGTTGTTAGAACTAGTCATGTTACCTAAAACAGAGAACAAGGAGACCCTTCCTTCCAACACGGAACCAATTCCCAGTACTGTTTTATCTACTTTGTGCATACCATTTTGTTTCTCTTCAATCAACCTCCAGCCAGTTTCTTCAGCTGCTGCTAAGATACTGTGGTGGGTTGACCCTGGCTGGGGGCCAGGTGCCCACCAGAGCTGCTCTATCACTCCCCTCCTTAACAGGACAGGGGAGAAAAGGTGTAACAGAAGGCTTGTGGGTCGAGATAAGGACAGGGAGAGATCACTAATTATTGTCACAGGCAAAACAGAGTAGAAGAATGAGAAATAAAATCAACTCTTAACCCCTCCCATCTTCCCGGGCTCAACTTCACTCCTGGCTTCAACCTCTGCCCCCCTCAGCGGCACAGGGGGACGGGGAATGGGGGTTACGGTCAGTTCATCACACGGTGTTTCTGCCGCTTCTTCATCCTCAGGGGGAGGACTCCTCTCATCGTTCCCCTGCTCCAGCGTGGGGTCCCTCTCATGGGAGACAGTCCTTCACGACCTTCTCCAACGTGAGTCTTTCCCACAGAGTGCAGTCCTTCACGACCTTCTCCAGCGTGGGTCTCTCCCACGGGGTGCAGACCTTCAGGAGCAAACTGCTTCAGCGTGGGTCCCCCATGGGGTCACAAGTCCTGTCAGCAAACCTGCTCTGGCGTGGGCTCCTCTCTCCACGGGGCCACAGGTCCTGCCAGGAGCTTGCTCCAGCGTGGGCTTCCCACAGGGTCACAGCCTCCTTCAGGTGCCTCCATCTGCTCCGTCGTGGGGTCCTCCACGGGCTGCAGGTGGAATCTCTACATCCCCTCATCCTCCCTCCATGGGCTGCAGGGGGACAGCCTGCTTCACCATGGTCTTC